AGAAATCTCAGCAGTGGCAATGGCAGAGGCTATGTCCATGTTGACATCTATCCAAGGATCAAATATGTATTTTGGCACCTTACAGGTATATTAGCTGAGTATGCTTGGAATAGGTCACTGTTGCCTTCCTGTTAATAACTATTCTATTCCTATCAGGGTACATAAACAGAAAAAACCTTCCTGATACATATCACAGTTGCCTTTGTGATGAAGCAACACTTCTTTCCCGCTTCCCCTCTGACAGTTTAGGGAACAAGCAGCAGTGAACACTACAACAGGTTGAAAACAATGTGCCAGTAATGAACAGTCCCTGCTTGTGCATCCAGGAGCTGCATGTTCCAATGGTAAAACATTCACTAAAGCAAACTGTGAAGTCCTTAACTGTTGTGAAGGAGACTAGCTTGACCTGAGTTCATCTTCACTCTGCATTTCTGAACATCTTTGTTCCTTTAATCTGCACTGATGGGAATACATAACCGTGTAAATCTGCATTTTCTCATAATCATCTAGAACAGCACATACATTAAATGCAGCTTCAACCACACATTAGCAAACTGCTGAGCTATGCAGAGCAGTGTAGAAAGAAATGGTTCTTATTCTAATTAAATGTTGCATTTAATTTTTGAAAGAGAGGAAACATACCCATTAGGAAATCAAAAACTGTCATATCCATTATATCCAGAATTCTGGTCCCACTGTCATACGGGGGTGTTTGTTTAACCTCTTCACAATAATCTGGATCAACTTCCCATCTGGAAAAGCCAATATTTTGATATGTTATGTGACATACAAAGCTTACTGAGTATTATAAAAAAAAAAGATATATTGTACAGGGTTAGGTAGAGGCAGCAAATTCTTCAGGCTGCTTCCAGTAATGCAGGCAACTGATAAAGATTGTGACTGATGAAAAAGGAAGAAAATCGTAAGATTGAAAACTATCTGGCTAATAGCTTTAAGATCCAGGAGACTAGCTGCACCATCAGTCATATGATAAGAACATCTGAGACTTGTTTAGGGCTGCAGATCACAGTGAATTTCTCCTTCTGATAGGACTTAGACAGGTCCCGTTGCATCCTGTCAAAACTACTGGAGCTATCTGTCCTGTGAGGGAATCATGCCATTGAAAGTCCTTTCAGGATGAGGACCATAAAATGGAGCTCCTTGCAAGTGTGAGTGTCCCTTCCAGGAGCTGGACCCACTGAAGAAATGCAGACGCTCTCCTGAGCCTCAGTGCTTTAGGTCAGACACAGGCAATAAGCGCAGCACAGTTTTATTTTCCTACGACCCCTTGCAGTTGGTGAACCCTTTGCTCACCACTACTCACTCTGCTTTCTTGCGCTTGTGGTAGGAACGTCTCCAAGGGTTTCTCCAGGTTTTCCTTTTAGCTAAGGACAAATCCGGTAGGAAAGCGGCCAGAGACCCTTCTATCTGATCTGGTTTTCCACACAGGGCGTGCTCTGTTGAGCAGTAGTAGGAGCATTCCCCATAGAAGCAAATGTTGTTGGCTGGCAAATGAAGGAAAAGAGTTTTAAAACCTACTCTTAAATCAGTGTTCAAGAATTCCTAAAAGCACTGAGGTATGTATGAGCAGAAATAAATCTCAGACCCAAAACCCTGTTGCCACACATAGTTTTCTTCCACTGAAACCACCAGAAAGACATTCATTTCAGTGGCTGGAATCATGCCCTATGCTGAGCTCTCTGCAACTACTTCTAGCCTATTTATATTTAAAAAACAGATTTTTTTTTTTATTAATCCTTTTCCTTCTCCTTTCATCTTCCTAGACTGATACATTCTTTGGGATATATTTCTTACCCCAGGCTGGTCAATCCCACAGCCAAACAAGTAGCACATGCATCAAATTAAGTCACCTTCCAAAATTATGGCTCGTTTCTCCACAAGCAGACAACAACATTTCATTCATTGACTTGCTGGTATGAGAAGAACTGGCAGTTTTACTAAGGAGAATTATTTACCACGAAGACTCACGTGGGGGTGTGTGTGTGGAAGGTGGAAATCGCACAGATGTAACTCTGTCAGCACACTTCCCAAACACAAATTTCTTCCTTCACACATCACGTTACTCCAACAACCACAGAAAAAGAACCTGCAGCAGGTTTTGGAGTGTGTGTTACCTCAAAACCTCCCCAAAGCTGCAACCACATATTTCTGTACCGACAGGAACACCCACCTCTTCACAAGAACCCCTTTCCCAATTGAATTCACTGGAGGTGGGAGAAAGCAGCTCGTTCTCAAACCTCACCAACATTGGGCTATGAACAAGAACAGGAGCATACCGCTGACCTTGTCAGTGCGCTACAACTCTTTTGACATTGCTTTATGCACGTAAAATGTCATTAGAGAAATATTGTGCCCTTTCCTTATGGTAATGCACAAAGCCGAGATGTCACATTGCTTCCTGATTCCCCACAAGGTCTCTAAATTCAAATACTGCTTCTGAGCTACTCTCCCTTTGGGCGGGATCAGTATAAACGAGATATTCTGCCTTCCAGAGAAGACCACAATGCTCGAAAAGGTAGGCTGGTGGGTTTTCATCACATGCTGCCCTGCACATCGCCGTGACGTGCCCCCGGTCCAGAGCCAACCTACGGCTGGCCAAGCGTCCAGCGGAGATGGTACAATGCCGGTGGGTGACAGAAAGGAGATGATGAGTCAAGAGGACAGGGAGAAATAGCATCCCTAGTGCTGCTGGGGGTAACAGGAACGAGGAAGAAGCAGGGCAAGGAGCTGAGACTGGGGAAGGAGGAGAAAGAGAATGTGCAAAAGCAATAAGGACTCGTGACGGTTTTGATTGTATTAATCAACCGTGTTATCTGAAACCAACTGCTAAACTTGGAACTAAATCCTGTAACTAGACTAAAAGGCCAGTGTGTCACTACGTCACAGTTTGTCTCAGCTCTTCATTGCCAAGCTTCTAGTGATGGCCACCAGATTTGTTCATTAAGTCATGATTATGTTACTCTGGACACTGCCTTTCTGAAGCCCTTTGTGGTGACTGACTCATAAGGGCTTCTCATCTATTTGTGCTCAGGAACAACTCCAACCCCAACTGTATATTTACATTCACAGGGTTGGCTCATACCAGTTAAATACATCTTGACTCAGCCCAGAAATATTTACCCTGTGGTCACAAACTTCGTTGACAATTACTGGAAGAGAAGTACTTCAGGGAAGAGAAAATTGAGAAATTAAAACAGGGAGGAAGGAGCATTCAGAATGTCTGTACTTTTTCCAATTTAAAGTGTTTTACAAGGAAGAATATCCTTTCGTTAAAATTATTTCTAAAGCTTTTTCTTATATAGAACATATACTTAGTCCCTTAACATTTTACTTAAAGGAACAGTAGTTTAAGACTTCCCATGAGCTAAGAAGTGACCATGTCCTTGGATGATCTTGGCTATTTCTTATGAACCCCAGCATGAATCTGCTCATCATATGACACACCTATTACCCTCTAAATAGATACCCCACTCATTTTGATTTTTCAGCAACTCAGTAATATAACTCACACCACTGAGAGTGAAGTTTTGAAAAGCTTTTTACAAATTGCATCAGAAAAGAGCAATCATGACTAGGAAAGCTGAAGTTGGAAGGGACTCTGGAGGCCTCTAGTCCAAGTTACACCTTAAGGTCAGCCTCCCTAGGTTAAAAACGTCTGAAATCCTCAGCTTCTCATTCTCAGTGGGCCCCCTTCAGACTTACTAATTTCATTAGTCTAAAATCAAGTGTAAAGTCAAAATCAACATTTCCCTGGAGGTGTTTAAAGGTTGTTCAAATGCAGTGTTGGGGGATATGGCTTAGGTGTGGACTCTGAAGCGTAGGGTTATAGGTTGGACGTGATGATCCCAAGGGTCTTTTCCAACCTGAACGTTTCTGATTCTATGATTCTATGACCTAGACAAACCCAACCTAACACGAGCCTTGGGTGCACTGCCCTGCAGTCTATGACCTGTCCCAGGTTTCTTTCTCAAAAATGCTATGGCAGCACAGTCTTGGCATTGCTTTTGCAGGGCTAACACAGGTGCCTCGGCTTTGCCTTTGATCATCCTGGCAAAACCAAGCGGGCTTCATGACTCCCCATGAACCTCCACCATAATTCAGGATGAAAGAGAAGAGTTGTCCAAGCACCAGTGGGCAGCGCTGCCAGCTGCTGCCAGCCAGCAAACGGGAGGATCATGCTGGGCCATTGTGAAGGTTGAGATAATACCAGCCTATAAAAAACCAGGGAAGAAACATCTGCGATTTATACCCTTAAAAGAATTACGGCAGACAAAATATTTCAAGGGGCTCCAGGCTGCCAGAAGGGATGATTTACAAGAGATCACATACAGATGGCTGCTTGCTGCAGGCTAACACAGAAGAGCTGGGAGATGTAAAGAGATCCCTTCCTTCCTGGTTGCTGGCTGCCTCAGTGGGAAGGTAGCGATGTCCCCATGCTGCACCGAGGTCTCGTGTCTCCATCGATTTGCAGCACAAGCAGTGGGGCTTGTGCTCCCATTCAGCTCCGTGAGCATCACCTGCTTGTCTAGGGAGGGAGGGAACCTATGCAGATTCATCTCAATTGTTTGAGATAACTCATCTTCCAGGGTTTCTGTGACCTGACTTCCACCTGGCAGCAGGAAGCCAATGCTCGATTATGCACCACCGTAACAGTTTTGTAAGGAGCAAAAGGCCCAGCAATGCCCCTTCTGTGCTACCACAGCCTCTGCTGCTCACTATGTAAATCCGACCTTTCAAAAAAGGAATTATATTAAACACAGCATTTTGCATGGTGGTGAGATAAATGCTGTGTTTAATAGTTTGCTTCTGAATTTAACTTCGGGAACAATGAAACCTTGCTCTGCATTGTCAACGAAAGCAACTGGGACTAATCACTTGACAGTAATCTCACATTCGTATCCAGATAAACCTGCAGGGAAGCTCAGCGGCTGTGGCAGCAATGATGTTTGCCACTGCAGTGACACCGCTAGCCCATGTGCTGCCTGCCCCACACTGGGCCATCCACCCCTGCTCCTCTGGGGCTCCTCTGCAGAGTGGTTTTCCTCCAAGCCCTCATCACCTGCAATGGGAGCCCAGGAAGGGTGCATCCCATCACTGAGACAGCAAAATTGCTGTAAATCCCCGAATGTATTTCTCTGTGAGAAATTACTTTCAATGGCAAAGCATTTTCTGCCAGCTGTTATTCTCCCCACTGGCTCAGACCTGTGGTACTTACTCTCCAGAGCTCCTGTCCGATTTCTGGGGTTAGTGGAGGTGAAAGGATGCTCTACCTCAAATTACTGTGAAGGAAATTAACTGCTTTGATTGATACAGAAAAAGGCATCTCGATATGTCTGTCCTAGTTCTTATATATATATACAGGCAGTGAGATGAAGCAGCCTGAATTATCCAGGGAAGCATTCATTTTTAAGGTTTCTTAAAAATATAGGAATAAAGAAGAGAGGTACCAAATATAGAAGAATGCAGTTCTCATTTAAGGCTTCAAGGTGCATAGTGAGTCTCTTTGAAACCTAAGTAGGTGACCCACATTCTGCACAGCAGCAGGCTGAGGGTGAAATTCCAGCTCGAGACACCAGCCCAGTGCTGCACCAGCAATTGCACGTAAGAGTAGGGCTTGGCCTTTTGAAGGCAAAAAGTCAGAAGGAAAGAGGAGAAGAGACCTAACTGAGGTGTAGTACTTCTTTTAAAATTGCCCAGCCCATACGTTCGTCTCTCATCCGACACACGTGTTTCTGTACAGACCCCCAGCCCCAAGTACACCTGCAAAAAGAGCAAACACCAGGAACTTGTGCTCCTGCACAGTGGGTAGAAATGGCAACAGCAGCAGTGCTGGCAAACCAGAAAGGGAGGGATGCTTACACATGCCCAAATATTCCAGTGCTGGGAATCTGCAGCATACAAACTCCTTCTTCATTAAGAAACAAAGTTGTTTCCCCAAAGCACTAGAGAGGGAAGAGCATCCCGAGCAGTCTTGCAAATGTCTGATTCTCATTATCTGAGGATGAATGGATACAATTCCTAACGAAATCCACATGAAAATCGTGGTCTGGTGATCGAAACTCCAACTAATTACAATTAAGAGCCAGAGTGCCTGTGTACTCATCTGCACATTTTCTGTGCGTCATCTTGATAGCTGAACAGTAATTCTCAGGAAGAAAACGAACAAGTGGAGATACCTTAAAGCAAATTGCTTGGCAGAGCAATTCTTTTATTAAGATTTGCATGACTGTTAATAAAGGACATCTAGCAAGCCTGTGCAATTGGGAGTACTGGAAAGAATCTTGAATATTTACTAAAGCACTGCATGAAAAGGATCTTTCTTTTACCTGCTCAAAATAATAGCTAATTCAGAATTGCTATTGTTTGCTGAGAGGGGAAAAAAAATCTATAATCCCTTGGAATTGCTTGATATGAACAAAAACATAGTGCTTACTAGCTGTGTAACATTGATTTCTTTAAGCTGCTGCCTCAATTACTTCCAAAACGAAGGCTGACATCATTAATATGTCTCTTTTTTCCTGGCAAATTACCATTCATTTGTAAGAGTAGCAGGGCTACAGCGGTCTGCCCTACTGCACAGGATGTAAAATTAATTTAAATAATTACTGACCTAATTCCATTTCTCATGTTTAGTCCAAACTGCCTGGAAATGCACTTTTCTGCAATCTGCTTTCTCTCTGAACGCAGCCTAATGCATCGACTGACCTGTCTGCTCGCAGCCATTTCCACTTGCCAGTGGCAGAAGGGATGCCGCTCTGCAGCGTGCTCTGAGCTACAACTGCCTGAAGCTTCCCAGCCATGATTTCCATGCCCAATGGGACGAGTAAGCTAGCCCAGGCGTGGAAACGCAGTGAGGTTTCTTCCAACACATCCCTGCTGTGGTCCAGGGAATAACACAATGTATGGATGAGCATCATCGGTATTTACCCTCCGAGGGTTTCCACTTGTCAACAGTGGTCTCCCATCCTGAGGGGAAGACCTTTCTATAGAATCAATTCCATTTAGTACTCGTTTAATTTTAAGAGGTATCTATGAGTGCATGGAGAGGGATACACCACCAGCAGGTACCACGTGTCCCCATCACCACTAATGGTCACTGAGCATCGACGGGGATGAAGAGGCAGAGACACAGCCACCTTAAAAGGAGTCCCAGAGACATTTTAATGCAGGTGCACAGGCTGGCTCTTTCAAGTATCTATATGTCACACCTCAATTTCTCAGCTTTGTAACCAGTTCTCCCTCAAACCCTACTGACTTTGCTGCCCCATATCCATTAGAGGGGACAAACCAATATCTCCCACTCTTGCCCAGGAGCCCCGTTCCATCTCCATCCTCACCTCATCTCAGCACCCTCCTCTTTTCCCTCTTCTGCCCTCAGTCTGCTGCTTGAGCTGCCTGCTAGGTTTGTGAATTTGTTTCTACATGTCTAATTTAGGACCTTTATTACTTTTTCATTAAGTATTAATTAATGCTGCCTTTTAAGGTCAGTATAAAATAGAAGATGGAGGTGGGCCATATGTTAATGAGAAGCCGACTAATTAAACTGGGGACTTGTAGGGAAGAACTCTGACAAGTAACCAACGTGATTTAAGCAAAGTATATTGATTTAGGAAATGTAAAATTGTAAGAAAAATTAATTGCTTAAGCATTTTATTCTCCAGAAAAGCCTGATTCATAGTTAATCAAACATTTTAATTGAATTTATCTGAGGCCTCTAAATAAACTTGAATAAAGGATTATGCCTGGATCATCCCTTGGATGTCTGGAATTTCATAATGACAAGATAAAGATCTTCATCCGAACAGGCAGCCTTAACTCTGCATTGCCGTGCTCTGGCTGCTCTAAGCTGCTCAGTACTTGAGTACAGTTTTATAATTTCAGAAATCACTCAAGTTCACCCACAAGCCTTGATATCTAACCTAGGAAGAGTAAAAAGCAAGCAAACCTACTAATCCATATCTTACTTGCTAAAACAGGAATAAAACGGCTTATATTTCAAATGAGCCAAAGCACCTTGTGCACATAAACAGTCACAAGATTTTTTTGCCACCCGTGTGACTGTCTGCAAAAAGTTAAGGAAAAAAAAAAAATCGAGACAGAGAGAGACGGAGAAAAAGTGGCTGGGGCACAAGTGCTCAGCTGGAACATGCAGAAATGCTTTCCCATCAGGTTTGGTGAACACTGCTGCTGTACACTGTCACCATATACTGTTACAATGACCGTATATGTGAAACTGGAGCACTCATAACACAGGGTAAGACGAAATCATTTTATAAGTGAAGTTACTGGAATAAATAACTGCTCAACTGTGTCCAGCAGAGCTGAACATAAATATGAAGCTAAAAATAACGGCCATAATAATGACTTTATTGGTGATCACATAAGTGTGACAAACATTTTAAGAGAGAAAGCTCTGTCATGGCAGGGCTCTGACTTCTAGCTAACAGCAATAAATTACAGTTACTTTGGAAGAGACTGTAATTAAGTCTTTGGACCTTGACTTCAGGGATCTGGGATAAACAGCTTCTGGCCAATCACATGGAGAGCAAGGGAGAGATCTCTGGCGGTTTCTGCTCCAGATTGCCTGTTACACAAGTCACAGCCCGAGCTCAGCAAAGCACATTTGCACGCAGCTGAAATAATATGAGTTAAGCTCACTGCAACATAGTTTAACAATTTCCCTATATATTCTTTCTCTAAGAACATACTTAAGCATTGTCTAGGGGAAGGTGTCCCTTCCCACGGCAGAGGGGTTGGAAAGAGACGATCTTTAAGGTCCTTTCCAACCCAAACCAATTTATGATTCTATGCATTTTCATGCCTTAACTCAGAGCTTTAATTTCTCCATCTCAGCATCCCAGATGCTAAAGGGAGATGATAGCGCTTTCTCTTACCCTTTGCCCATCTTTGCCTACTCCAGCTGTATACTGTGGTGAGCAGAGCAGGCTTTTGTGCTATGTTTGTAAAATCCCCACCCTGTGGGAATTTTCCCCTGTCGCCCCTTGGCTGGGGCCACCAGACGTTGTGAAAGAGTGATGGGTAACAGAGACTGGTATTGGCTCCTGGAGTCAGCTTCAAAGCAAGAACAAGGACTGGGAACAACTCAGGTCACTTCTCCCCTGGCCTCTGCCCAGAAGAGAATTTGAGCTGGAAGTAGGATATGTTACACATCTATTTGCTTGATTTTTTTTTTCCCAAACTCCTGTTGCAATAAAAACTGAAGTACACGACTCTGAGAAAATTAGGTTTTGGTCCTCCAGTCAAAACGGGGAAATAAATGCATTTGACCAACAGAAGTGACGAATCACATTGCAGGAGAAAAAAAAAAGTCTAAATAACTAATGGGCTAAGTAAAAAGGTTTTGGGTAAACTGAGAGTGATAGAAGAAATTGCTTTAGAAATTGCTCTACATAAAACATTTGCTGAATACATTGCTTTTGTGAACATAAAAGCTTATCTCTGCAGATAATTTGTCAAGGGGAAAAGGCACTCAATTCAAAACAGTGAAGTCTTCTTTGTAGGCTATGTCTTCACATTTATTTTTATTCAAAGGTCTAGAAGACAGTTCTGCTAGAAATATCTGAGCAATTAAACAATCTCTACATCGTTCCCTTAAGTATGTGTTCGGGTAGATAGAAAGAATATAATTCCAAGACTACCTGGTGAGATGAAAAATGTTCTCCACAGTTTCTTGTCACGAGTAACATCTCGTATTTCTCTCGTCATGTTAACCAGTCTACCTGCAACTGGTGGCACGCGACGGAAATCCAGGATCCTAGAAGAGAAGGAAAAGAGATAGTTTATGTAAAAGATTAAAATATAATGATAGTGATAGGCTTTAGGAAGGTTCATTACACTCTGAAGGCACATTTATCTGTGGTCTTTAAGGAGTAAAAAGCCCATCAACTTTAAACTGGATAATCCTTCGTCTAATAGATGACATAAAATATGTCCTGAATGTGATCAGCTCTGACTTGCCTATATAGTATGGAGCTGGTGCAAAATACAGAAGCGGATGAGGATACTTTGTTCCATGAAAAAAAATTAAGATACATAGAATTCCAGAAATAAGAGACTTATTTTTGACTTTGTGCTACTTCAGGATTGTTGTAACTTGCATTTTGCTCACTAGTTTTTTAAGTGACTCGAGGAATGGGATTTCAGCCTCTTTCCTCCAGAAAAGCCACCAAATAGCAAATTTTCTCACCAAATAGTCTTAGTATTTGTTTGATGTATTTGCTTCTGCTTCTCTCTGTTTTAATACTATTACATCAACCTAAATAATCTCCCTGAGACTAAAAATTTTCCCAGGGACAAAGGCTGAGTGCAGGGCCTT